CTGTCTGTCTGTCTGTCTGTCTGTCTATCTATCTATCTATCTATCTATCTAGTCTGTCTGTCTGTCTGTCTGTCTGTCTGTCTGTCTGTCTGTCTGTCTATCTATCTATCTATCTATCTATCTATCTATCTACCCACCCGTCTGTCTGTCTGTCTGTCTGTCTGTCTGTCTGTCTGTCTGTCTGTCTGTCTATCTATCTATCTATCTATCTATCTACCCACCCGTCTGTCTGTCTGTCTGTCTGTCTGTCTGTCTGTCTGTCTATCTATCTATCTATCTACCCACCTGTCTGTCTGTCTGTCTGTCTGTCTATCTATCTATCTATCTATCTATCTATCTATCTACCCACCTGTCTGTCTGTCTGTCTGTCTGTCTGTCTGTCTGTCTGTCTGTCTGTCTGTCTGTCTGTCTGTCTGTCTGTCTGTCTATCTATCTATCTATCTATCTACCCACCCGTCTGTCTGTCTGTCTGTCTGTCTGTCTGTCTGTCTGTCTGTCTATCTATCTATCTATCTATCTATCTATCTATCTATCTGTCTATCTATGAATCTACCTTTCTGTCTGTTTGTCTGGCTGTCTGTCTATCTATCTATCTATGAATCTACCTTTCTGTCTGTCTGTCTGTGGGTCTCTCTGTTTGTCAAATGTAAATTAAAAAAACTCTTGTTTTTGTGTCGTTTTAGCTCTTTTTAAGTACATCAGCATTGATAACTCTGTTATATTCACAGATTGAATGTGAAATACAGAACAACATCCTCACTAGTTAAAGAGTCTAGATAAAAACAATGACTTCATTTACTCACCCTCATGCCACTGAAAACCCTCCTCTGCAGAACAAGAACACAGCACTCCGAGAACATGATGAGAAGTGCATATCTGTCCACCAAAATATCAAATCTTTCCATTGAAACGACATAAGCATGAATAAAATAAAGGTGAGCTGTCACTTTAAGTAGTCGTCGTCATGACAAACACACTCTCTGGTATTTCCTTCAGCTCCTCGCAAACATTGCATGCATAATATGCAGCTTTTGTCATGCATGCAATCACTCTTCGTCTTCACACTGACAGAAACACACACAAATCAGTCCCTTTTCACATGTCATGTTTTATTTCGTGTTCACTCGTGTGTATAAAGTGTACAGTCATGGACAACTTTACAAAATAGAAGTCCCGTCTTCACGACTCAAACACGGAGGCCTACGCAATACTGCTTTGGCATCTAGATTTGTACAGTAAAGTGCAACATGTCGCTTATAAATAATAATAATGTACATTCTTGATGCGGGTTGTTGCTTGTTCACAGCGTGTCGAGACGTCTGGTCTCAGTAAAGTGCAAATGCGCAACAAACATTAAACATTGAGCGCCGTTTCCATACTAGACAGAGTTTAACCTTATAAAGCCTACAGTATCTCTCATTTAAGGCCCCGAAATGATCAAGATGATAAAAGCTGCGGTTTTGCACACAATCATTCACATGTCTTCTCCATTGTTTCATTCTTTAAATCAAGTTTAAGGTCTTTATAATTGTACAAACATCTGTTTCAACTCATGTCACGTGTCGTTTTGTCAAATATTTACTGATGTTTATAAGGTAAATGTAAAAAAAAGCCATATTTTAAGATTAAGGATGAAATGCTTGACTTTTCTTTTCTCAAAAATATATCATACACTGATATATCAGGTTATCAAAAATGATAAACAAAAAACAGGCCTTTGAGAAAGGTTAATTACCAGAACTTTTACTTTCTCGGTAACGATCACCATGATATTAGATCCCCAGAGGCTATCCCCCAAAGTATAGCCTCGAAATCATCTAATATATGTATATATAGCCTCGAAATCATCTAATATTTATATAAATATATATATAGCCTCAAAATCATCTGATATTTATATACCCTTTAAAATCATCTAATATAAATTTAAATATTTATATAGCCTCGAAATCATCTAATAAATATATTATATATATATATATAGCCTCAAAATCTAATATATGTATATATAGCCTCAAAATTATCTAATATTTATATAGCCTCGAAATCATCTAATATATGTATATATAGCCTCGAAATCATCTACTATATATGTATGTATGTGTATATATATATATATATATATATATATATATATATATATATATATATATATATATATATATATA